AAGCTGGCTGAGATGACTGCTTACCTTGTGGCATGCTGCCCAAGTCTTTTGATGAAAGACAGTAACTGGGACTCTTCCTTCCTTCAGTACCAAATGTATGAAGCTTAGTTATTGGAGTTTTGCTGTTGTTTTTAAACTTCAAAAGCGTTTATTATTATTACATGTTTATAACAAAGGCATGGAGCAACCAAGTGGCCCAAGGGATAGAGTGCCAGTCCTGGAGTCAGGAAAGCTCATCTTCCTGAATTCAAATCTGGCCTGAGACACTTATTAGCTGTGTGACCCTGGGCAAGTCACTTAACACTGTTTACCTCAGTTTCCTCATCTGTAAAATGAGATGGAGAAGGAAATGGCAAACCACTCCAGTATCTTTGTCAAGAAAACTCCAAATGGGGTCACGAAGAGTTGGACACGACAGAAAAAAAGGGCTGAAAACAAAGACATACACATTGAGAGTGCGTGCGTGCGCATGCGCACACACACACGTGCAGACACACTAATCCTATGCATATAGTGCTGCTCACATATTGACACCACTTACACAGTATTGAGTTGCTAACAATGCAAGGATGGAATGAATGCTGCCATATGACTAGACTGTCCACGTGTCATTGAAAAGTCATAGACCTTTTGTGCAACATTGAAAAGCTCACTCAGCATTGAAAGGCTCCTACTCATAGAGCTTTCTATGTGTGAGCTCTCACATCTGGTGGTCCTTGGAGCCCAGTTACTGATAAAGGTTTTTTCCTCCTTCATCCAGGTCTCGGGGGAGGCAACATGGGACAATGCAAGAAGTCAGGGTACATGGATTCAAATCTTACCTCTGTAACTTGCTATATGGGTGACCTTGGGCAAGCCACATTCCTAAGCCTTAGTTTCCACATCAGTATGAGAAGGGGTGGAGTTGGACTAAATGACCTCTAAGGTCTCTTCTAGCTCGATATCTATGTTCATAACACTTAATAATACCCAACACGTCCAGCACCATTTCAACCTTGGGAAAGGAGAGGTCGCGCTTGCTGGTTAGGTTAAGGTATGTCGCTGTGACAGTTTGGTGCCATTAGGATCTGATTTTGGGGAGCAATGTTCATGCTCAGTTTGACTTCTGGAGAAGGAAAATGAATCTGGGGAAGGACTAAGGCAAGCTGCAAATGTTTAAAGGGTGACTATTAGATAAAAGTAGAATGCAAGCTAACAAAGTTGCCTTATTAAACTAGTTCCTTATTTTTGAAAGCCTGGATATTTCTACCTACTAACCTTTTGGGTAGATCTCTGTGATCCAGGTTTATTGCAGTAACCATTAGCAGTAAAGTCTAACTCAGGAAATCTGTTCTTTTAAAGAGTTCCCATTAAAGAGATTTTAATAGCATGCAAATTTTATTGAACCGAATTCTGAATTGCAAATAGACAAAAGGTTCTAAAGGAAAGTGTTTATGATGGCTGCCAGTGAGGATAAACAGCTGCCCACCTCTGCCAGCGCCTATGAAAATATGTTTTTAAGTTCTAAATGTGAGCTGTAAACCAGAGCTCCTTCACTTTTAAAAAATTCAATACTTAAACTGTGGGGAGGGAGGGAATCGGTGCCAGAGAAAACATTCTCATTTAATAATGTTTGAACATGGAGCTGTGATGCAGTTGGTAGCGAGGCACTGAGAAAAACCCACAACTAATCCTTCACTGCAGATGTCTGAACTCTTGACTGTCTGCCATGCTTTAAACAGCAACTTCTTTTTTCTAGGGACTCAAGGCTTGAATGACCCAGTGTGGAGAGTTGAAACTCCATACAAAAATATAAAAAAGGAAAAAAAAACTTAAGCCTCAGCTGAAGATTTGGTAAATTGGACCGTGGGGCTCCGGCAAACTGGGGTTCATGTCGTACCCGCCTTGGCTTGCCCTTTTCCGGTCACAGGATATAGTGTGGAGTCTCATGGGAGCTCCACAGATGGAGAAGAGGGAGAGTTGAAGACTTAGACTTTATGGGTATTTTCAGTTCGTTTGGTTTGATTTTTTCTTTTACCTTGACTAACCCACTGCTAACTAGAATAAAACAATCAAATAAAAGAGACGTGGTTTTCTTATGTTACCCAGTGTTGCAAGTAACATTAACATTTATAGAGTACTTTTCTCATTAAGGAGGTCAATTCAATCACCATTTTTCACATTCAACTGAATTCCACAAAACATGGACTGGATGGCTGCTTTGGGTAAGACTGTGCTAAAACCAGTTGGGTAGAAAAATGAAAACCCAATTCCAGGCATCAAGTAGCTTATGACTTAAAAATATGACCTCACATGTCTCCTTTCCATCTTATGCTTATGAAAAATGGCATAGCTAAGTGATTTGGCCTTTGTTATATGATAGGGAGGGGAACAGACCCCAGATTTTCTAACACTTGGGGTCAGCGTTGTATTCACTTATGCCAAGGTAAAAGTCATTTTCATTCTTCTAATTCTTCTTCCTGCTTTTGACTGCTCATGGAAACCTGATTCTATTGGAAACTGAGGTCTTTGAAATTAGACAAATACAAAATGTTGAAATATAAGAGTACTTTTTTGATTGTTTTCTTAATTATTGTGCCATTTCTGTAGTTTTTTATTCTGATAATCTCTTTACTTAGTGGCTCAATGGCATTTGTCACTTAATATGGCAGACTTAGTAAGATAGCTTCATAACGTGGGTCTTAAGATCTTATTGAAAGCAAAGAGCCTATCAAAAAAAAATATGCCAGGCAAAGGCTCCTCTAACAAAAATGAAGAAATCTTATGCCTTCCAGAAAAGTTAAGTCGTTTTTCAGTTGTGTTCAACTCTTTGTGATCCCATCTGCGGTTTTCTTGGCAGAGATACTGGAATGGTTTGCCATTTCCTTCTCCAGCTCATTTCACAGATGAGGAAATTAAGGCAAACAGGGTTAATTGACTTGCCCAGGGTTACACAGCTAGGTAAGTGTTTGAGGCCAGATTTGAACTCAGGAAGATGAGTCTTTCTGACTTCAGGACCAACAGTCCATCCACTGCACAGCTAGCTGCCAGACTCTCTAGATGGGTACATCAAACTACAGAAAGGCTTTCCCATAGAGAAGGTAACTTTGGGAAAATTTCAGTTCAACTCAGTAAATGTTTATCAACTATCTATTATTTTCTTTGTTCAAATCTAACTGGATACCCCTAAATATTGATATCTTACACTAGTATCTTTATATATTAGTTCTTTACTAGATTTGAAGACAAGAGTGTGAACTCTGGCTCTTCCACTTACTTGATGTGTGATTTGGGGTAATTTCTTTGACCTCTCAGAACCTCAGTTTCTTCATCTGTAAAATGGGATTGATGATAGTTATATTATTAAAACTCGGTTGCTGGGAGAATCAAATGAGATAATGTATGTAGAGACCTTCATAAATTTTAACATAAAATGTGAGCTATTATTATCATTGTCTGACACAGGAATTGAAACTATGTTTAGTTCTGACTGCAATTCCTAGACTAAGAGATGTCTACAAGTTTCACTGGTAGGCCTAGGGCAGATACAAGGAGAAAGAAGGGTGAAGAAAAAAGGAAAGAGTAGAAGAAGGGAAGAGAGGGAGATAAAATGGAGGGAGAAAGGGAGGGAGAAAAAGGAAGAGAAAAAGATGCATGTTGCGGGGCATGGTGCAATGCTGTCAGTAATTGTCTATAAGGCCATTTTATCACAACAGGTCCAACGGTCTAACACGTAGAATTCTCCCATGACAAAGAAATATTGATCAATTTCATGTTGGTTTACTGTCTTGAATGAGCCTGGACCTATTTAGGCCCAAGTTTTGGCTCGAGGAATTTATATATTAGTAAATCTAAACTTCTTTGCAATAAGAGTCTTCAAATATTAAAAGTTGGCCAAAAAAATCCAGTCCTCAATACAATTGTCTTTCGGGCAACCTGTCACCCCTCTACTCATTGTTTCAAGAAAGAGGAGTATGCAAGGAGTCATTTAAGTGTTCAACTGTGTGCAGATGACCTACTGCCAATTCTTTCTGAGTAAATTCAGCATTAATTGATCTTAAGTGCATCTCTTGTTTATCAAGGCTTAATATGATTGTTGAAGTCCAGCAATGGACCATTAATGGCACCATTTTTTAAGCCATCTTTTTTTTCCCTCTTTATTTGAAGGGTCTCTGAAACTTTGTACTAACAAGCAGTTGTATTTTCTCATGTCCCCTGAACTGTCTTGAGTCCCTCATCCTTATGAAACTTTAAGCCATTTGTATTTTCTGTTACATAAAGCAATTTTATGTAATAATGAAAATTAATTAATTAAATTTTATTTAATTAATTCATTAATTAATGAAAATGAAAATTAAAATTTTATGTAAAAATGAATATATTCATTTTCCAAGACTGAAGATTTTAGTCATTCCCATCCCTCATGCACTTGTGGATTTCAAACATTAATGGAGATAAGCCAAATCAAATAAAAGCTTAAATACCAATGGCTTTGTATTTATTTTGCAGTATATTTCCACACAGCTGACACACAGTATGTACTTCTCAGTTACGTGTTCACATTGCTCGTTAAATGGGTTAGTGTAAATTCAGTATTTTCAGCTACTGCTTAAAAAAGTTTACAATGATAATTCTAATGTTGAGACAGAGGTTATTTTGCATTCTAGAAGGCATTGAAAGCATAAAGGTTACCTTGAAGTATATTAGGGGAAAACTATTTACAAATTTGTACAGTTTCCAGTTTTTATTATTTTGTTTTGTTTTTGCTTTGGCTACCCCCATCTAGTAGTACTAGACTTCATTCCCATTGTTCCAAATTTGTTCTCACTTAAAATTTTCCAGCTGGGTTCTAGACCTCTTAGGTTTATCTACTGATGGGGGCTAAATAGGTTCCTTGGAAGGTAGATCTACTAGATCAAGGTGGGGGACCTTTGGCCTCAAAGTTACATGTAGCCATCTAGGTCCTCAAGTGTGGCCCTTTGATGGAATCCAAACTTCACAGAACAAATGCCCTTAATAAAAGGATCTGTAAAACTTGGACTCAGTCAAAAGGCCACACCCAAGGACCTAGAAGACCACATGTGGCCTCAAGGCTGCACTAGATTGTCCTAGTAATTTATCTGATCAGCTCTCTGACCTATTGTTCTTTTTACAAAGACTGCACCCAAAAAAGGTGACCTAGGAAAAGAGTAGGCAAGTTTCTAATGTCTCTTTTAAAACATGCTTTCAGTAAACACTAATGGTTGATTTTGTAACTCCATAAAGGAGCCCAGTTATTCCAGGTGCTTTAGGAAGTCTTGACTCCTTTATGCCCACTCTCCCCACCCCACCCCCAACCATTTATTATTGAAAGTTATTTCTAATTAGGTTATTCATGTTGGAAGAGGCTGACGGGTATACTGGCCACAAAGTCAACAATCTGTTGTAAAGGACAAACATGGCTCTTAGGGCAGCTCCCCCATGCTGCCACTAATGCATGTGCTGGTTTCTTATCAAGCAAAACAAGTGAGGTTTTAGAATGAGAGGGGAAAATGTCTTTTATGTACATCTGCTTCATCATCTGACCTCCTCCACGTCTACATTTGAATTCATTTCTTTTCCAGTAATATTCAGCTTCTCAAAAGATGTCCGGTTCCAGAATGGGCTACAGAACAAATTCAGTCCAAAGTACCTGGTTGGGTGGAGCTCCCAATTGTGGCCATTTCAAAATCCTCTTCCTTTCCATTATCAACAAAGTAGCCACGCTGGTTATGCTACTTCTTTCCCCTTCTTACATGTCCCCTGCCCTTTTTCATAAGTCTCTCTCCCAGCTTCGGAGGAAGGAAGTGCTACTGTGGTGAGGAGGGCCAATGACTGGTTTCTACCATCCTTTTTAAAAAGATGCAGATGGCACCGGGCACTCATGGCCAAGAATGACCCGGTCGCTGCTCTGCAAAGGAGGCTGAGTGGATTGGCTTAGAGTTGACATCACTCAACAAAGAATAGAGTCAAGTCTTTGTCTCAGGGCCAGGAAGGGCACTCTCCTCCACATTCACACCCACTAGAAGTCTCTAAAAACCCTTTGCTTTGCAATCTTTGATCTGCCATTCTAAAGCCAAAGGCTCCAAATTGAGCTAATTTATTCTCCCCGGGCAACATCACGAAATAATAAGGCGACAACATGATATATCTTCTCAGTCCCATGCTTGGCAATAAAACATCCAGATAGATAGATAACACAGGCCTCAAAATTCCAGCTCATTGATATCTCATCAATTTGAAGGATGGGGCCAATTACTTTTTTTTTCTTTTTCAAGAAAGGCAGCATGATCAACCCAAAAAGGGATGTTTTCCTTCATGTTGGGAAGGAGGGCAAAAACACAGGCTTTTGCTTGGTGAAGGAAGTCATGGGAAAGATAACAAGAGCATTGCCAGCCAGGGTGTGCTTTCTCCTTTGCATATGTGGAAGGCAACAGAGAAGTAGAAAATGGAGCATTTTAAGTTTTTTTATTCCACTGTGGAGTCCCTCTAGGGTCTTTAAAATGAACATCAAAATGTCTGTTTGGTTAGGTGTTCAGAAAAGAAGACAGTCTTCTTCTGGGTGAGTGAGCCACTTCCCCCACCCCAGCCAAGTCACACCCTCCAGAATTGTCCCAGTTCACCAGCTGGGTTTGATGGTCGTTCTCACCAGCTTCTGAAGGGACAAGCCCATTGGTGGCAGTTAGACCTTCTGCATTTCAATCTGCTGGTGATAATGCCGCGTCTGACCTTTCCCATTCAGCTTATACACAGAACTCTTCTGCTGTTGCCTTCTATAGCACCACACGGCGCTGATAACCACCAGCAGCAGTAACAAACACAGAACGATCACTATGATGGCAATCACGGGGCCTTTACTGATATTTGAGCAATCCTCCCCCACACATGACTCAGTGGTTGGAAGAGGCTCTTCTTTTATGCTCGAGGTAGGAAGCTCCTGCTCCATGAATCTCTCAGAGGGTGAGTCTGGGAAACTACTATGGGCGCTGAGCATGGTGGTCTGGGTAGGAGGAAGAGTGGTGGCAACTCTCTCAGCATCTCTGGGTGATGGGATATGGTCAAGGGGCTGGGGATCTGCTATCGTCATTGTCCCTGGGGTTGAGTTGGTAAGGTCATAGAGCAAGGTGGACACTGGAGATTCATCCGTTGCAAATCCCCAAGGCACAGTGGACTGATATGTGACCATGTCACTCGCTCCTTTGCTGGGACTCACATTCTCAGGGGCAGTAGTAGGTGTGAAGGTCCCTGGTTCATAGTCCAATGTTCTTATCAGAGTGACAGTCAACTGAGTTATATCTTCACCTAGAGTGAACATGCTACTGCTGGATTTTTTAACTTCTACATGGTTGGGCTGGTCAGTTATCACCAGAATACTTTCATCCAGACCTACTGAGCCATCCCCCTTGTCCCCTTCATCATCTTCTTCTTCCTCCCTTGTCCCATCAGTTACAGGGTAGCCATCTAACCAGGACTCATCACTGCTGCTCACAATGTGGTCCCCCACCTTGCTGTCATTCCTGCCCATGGTCGGTCCAATGGGGAAGTCAGCACTATCATAGATCATTTTGGCACCTGGCTCCTGGAGTCTTGATTTCACTCCAATATGGTTATCTCCATCGGAAAAATGCCTCTGGCCATTCTCCTCTATCATCTCCTTCTCCAACTCAGGCTCATGAAAACCCTCAGCTGGGAACCAAAATAAATGTTTCTGGCTCAGCAAGGAGACAGGAGATTCTGTGGGAGCCCTGCCTTCTCCTCCAGGCAGGCCCCTCGTCTTTATGTCTTTGTTGCCAGCCACGCTTTCTCTCCCTAGTGAAACAGAGATGGAATAACCCTGCTTTAGTTTGTCAGAGGCTTCTTCCTGGCCCCTGGCCTCCTTCTCTTCCTCCTTCCTCTGATCCTTCTTATGATCTGTGAGTGGCACTGATCTGTCATCAGGGAAATTCTCTTCATAGTCAATATGTGTCTCAGCTTCACCTAGAAAAAAAAAAAGGAGAGGGTGGTAAGTTGCATTAGACAGCAGAGTATAGGTGCTATCCCTACCCCCATTACATTGTAAGCTCCTTTAGGGCAAGGACTGCATTTTACTTCTTTTTGTGTCTCCAGTGCTTAGCTCAGTGCCTGGCACACAGTAGGTACTTAATAAATGCACGTTAATTGATTGACCTGTCAGGGGCATTACCAAAGTGAGCCAGGTTTGTAGCATGCTACCTTGTTAAAAATCATAGGCAATGCTTTTATTGTAATGGGGATTTGATATTGAATGTTAGTTCCTTGAGGGCAAGGAGTGTTTTGTTTTTATCATTATAATGTCAGCACCCAGCACCATGCCTGGTCCATAGTGTGTTACTGAATTGAAGTAAACTGCATTGTGGGGCTAGAATCTACAAGAAGATTCTGTGATGACTCAGAAGTGAAAACTCTGGGTGCTTGGAAGGACAGTGGTGCCTACCTCAGAACTATGAAAAAGAAGAGTGATTTGTTTTGGTTACATCTAGGGTTGGGCAGAGATAATGCGCCTACAGTGGCTGCCATTTTCCCATCTTGCTGTCTATTGGTTTCTGCATTTTCGCAGGTGAGAAATTTGTGTTATGTTGAAACTAGGATGATAGCTGAATACACAAATGCTTTGTGAAATCTCTCATTGGAATTTAAAGTCTTTGATGGTGGGGACTGAATTTTTCTCCATTTCTCTATAGCTGTGTCTTGGATATACCTGATGCTTAAAAAAAGGACTGTTGAATCAAATTGAATTGAAACTCACTGAGCTGTACCCAAAGATTCGATGACCTTTGCTGAGTTTAACTATGAAATCAAATCCAGTAAGTTTTACTTGGTTCCCATTCTCATTCATTCATTCATTTGACAATTTTTTTTTGGGAAGACTCTAACATGTGCTAGGCTTTAGGAGACATATGAAATTTAGGTTATGATACCATCCCACCTGTGTGGAATAGCTTCCATATAGTGAGGGAGGGAGGGGAGAAGGAAAAGACAAAATGTAATGGTGCATAAATAATATGTATTAAGTACATTACAAAGTTATGATTCAAGTGTTCAACGAGGTTAAGGGGAAAAAGCTGTTGTCAGCTGAAGGGCTCAGTGGAGGCTTCATGGAGGTGGTGACCTTTGGCTTGGAACTGACAAAGCATGCAGGCATTATCCTAGTTTTAGCAGCACACAAATTTCTCATTTGCTCAGATGTAAAGCCCAATACACGAGAGGATGGCAGCCACTGCAAACATAGTGTTTCTGCCCAGCCTCAAATATAACTGACAGAGATGTTGGCTGCCTTTGTCTAAACATCCTATGAATCAAGGCTTCTCTCTGTTTAGGCAAATTTCTTGGGTTTGGGGATTTGAAACAAACAAAAACAAAAATCCAAACAAATTTGGAATCTCTTTGAGAACAGTCTTGCCCTTATCTCACCCATCCCCCACTCCTCATCCTTTTTTGTTGTTCAGTCATTTTTCAGTGGTGTCTGACTCTTTGTGACCCCATTTGGGGTTTTCTTGGCAAAGACACTAGAGTAGTTTGCCATTTCCTGCTCCAGCTTATTTTACAGATGAGGAAACAGAGGCAAACAGGGTGAAGTGACTTGTCCAGGGTCACACAGCTAGTAAGTGTCTGAAGCCAGATTTGAACTCAGGAAGGTGAATCTCCCTAACTCCAGACCTGGTATTCTATCTACTGTGCCACCAAGCTGCCCCACTCCTCATCCTTACAGGGGATTTCCCCATGGAAAAATGCGAGGACTAAAGCAAGGATAGGTCCTGGCTGTCCATTGTAACCTCTTGCCTCTCCCAGGGATTGGAGGTCAACCAGCCAGCTCTTCCCACTGGGTGTAAAGTAAGCTGCAGAGTTATATCTGGAGTTTCCAGCAGACATCTTGCCTGCTCCTGGCTTGAGTCTCATTCATTGTAGACAATGAGACAGTAGAGTGAGTTGGCTGTGAGATGGCCCAAGGCCCTTCTGTGTTTGTACAGTCTACAGTAGCCACCTTTATGTGTGTAGGAGCTGTTCGCTTTGGGATGCCTGTATGAAAGCATCCATTCAGCTCTCAGAACATCAAAGGCATAGGCCCACCCCTCCAGCTGGGAAGACTTGACCCTTTCCCCATCCCTATCAGAATGCCCTGGCTGGCTGGCTTCTTTCAGCAATGTTCTCTCTTCCTGTCCTGGCTTTGTAGACCAGAGGAAGGCACTGTTGGTCACTGGGTGGTCGTGCGGCTAGCCACAGTGTCCCAAGTGTTAACTATTTCCCTTACCACTTGAGAATGAGTCTTAGATTTGGGGTCAGAGGACCTGGGTTCAAATCCCAGCTCTGCCACTTACTACCTGTGTGACGATGGGCAAGTTTTCACCCCTAAGGTTACATTTGCTCATTTGCTGTTTTTTTTTTTTTAGGCAATTGGGGTTAAGTGACTTGGCCAGGGTCACACAGCTAGTAAGTGTCAGGTGTTTGGTCTGAGGCTGGATTTGAACTCAGGTCCTCCTGACTTCAGGGCCGGTGCTCTATCCACTGCGCCACCTAGCTGCCCCTCATTTATAAAAATTAAGATGTCAGAGTAAGATGTCATTTCCCTGTAGCTTCTAAACAACCATGATAATAATGCCCGCCTCTTAGACAGAACCTTTACATACATACCTTATTTCATTTGGGCCTCTCAATAACCCTGGGAGGCAAGGAGGGTCTTAGAATCATAGATTTAGAGCTGGAAAGGACCTTTGTGATTATCTCGTCCAACCCCCATCCACTTACAAATGAGTCCGTCACTCAGTCAATAAGCATTCATAAACATTTAGCAATGAGCATCAAAAAGCATTTACCAAGCACCTACTACGTGCTAGGCAAGGTGCTAAGCTCTGAAGATGCAAAACGACAGGTCCTGCCCTCAAGGAGCTTACAATCTAATGGGGAATCTAATAAGAAAACTAAGGGCTAGAGCAGTTAAACTGTGGTCAAATGACTCATGGTCATAAAGACAGTAAGAGGCAAAGCTGAGAAAATGTTATGAGTATTATTGTCCTCATTTCGCAGCTGAAAAAAACCATGACCTTAGAATTAATGTCAGAGGCAGGATTCAAACCCAGGACCCCTTTGTTTTCCAGCTCCAAATCTCATTACACCACTACCCTGCCTCTCTCAAGCATCAACTACACCTTGTCTTCAAAAAATTCCTTGACAAGGAGGTAATAATGATAATGATGATAACAGCTAGCATTTATAATAGTGCTTCAAGGTTTGCAAGGTGCATAAATATATTTTCTCATTTGATCCTCACAACAACCCTGGGAACTAAGTACTTTATTGTCACTATTTTACTAAGGTTAAGACAGATAAACCAACTCGTCATATCATTGAGCCATTTAGCGTGTGAGGCAGGATTTGAACTTGGGACTTTCTGTGCAACACTCTATATACTGCACCTTCTCTGTGTGGAGTTTACACAGAAGAGCTCTCTCGACAGGTTGTTTGTTAGTTTATTCTCTACCTTAAGCATAAGGCCTTGAACATAGCAGCCATTTGTTAAGTGGGTTCATTGTTCTATTGACCAACTTCACCCTTTCTTGATGATCTCATCACCTCTTGCTCCCTTCTTTCGCATTGGGAAGGCTGTCACACTAGACTGATTAGCTAATGTCTGATTACCCCACTACTGAAGAGGTGTCTCTCTGTGCCCCAAATATGGGCATTTAATGAAAGTGATCCCACTGCTCAGACCAACAGTCATGCTGAGGATGCTCTCAGAGCCCAGCAGGCTAATGTCACTCAAAGATCAGGTGACCCAGAAAAGTAGCAGCCTGCCCTTGACGTCCAGCCTCCACGTTCTAGGCTTCAATCTCATAGAACACAGTGCGGCAAATGTCAGAGCTGGAAGGAACCTTGGAGATAATAGAGTCCAGTCCTAAGGTTCTAAACCCTGGGCTTCCCCTAATGTCTTAGCCCTGGCCAAGAGGCAACAAGAGAAGGGCTAATGGAATTTTTAAAGTGGTTACATGCAAAAGAAACATAAAACCCTGATAAATGATGGATAATATTTTGTATTTGTAAAATACATGGCACTTTGAGGTGCACAGGGCATATTTTCCCCATTTGACAGATGAGGAAACTGAGACTCAGAGGGGTTAAATAACATGCTCAAGGCTATATAGCTAGTACCTGGCAGAGCCAAGACTAGTTTAAATTATATTGATATTTTTTATTTTCATTTCATCCTCATTTCTGAATACATCCTTCCCCCCTCCCCCATTCAACGAATTATCCCTTGTAATAAAGAAGAAAGAAGGAAGAAAGAAAAAGTTCAGTCAACTAACTAAGAAGCCAACCTAGTCAAGCAGAATGCATGTTCCCTTTGCAAAAAAAGGAGGGTGGGACATTGTTTTCATTGTTTCTCTAAGGGGCAAGATCTTTACACTTCCCGCTGTCTCTCCACTCACCACGTTCCTTTGGTGGGATTCAACAAGCAAGAAAAAGAAAAAAAGGATGAGACAAGAAATTCCACCACTGTAGGTTTTTGTTTTGTTTTGTGTTGTTTTGTGTTGGTTTTCTCAGGGCTAAGTAAGGGAGTGATCAAATGAAAGCGTAGGTCACCAGACCTGACAGGGAAGACCTTTGGAATCTGCAGTCACCAGAGCAGGATTGCCAGGGAAAATTTTCAGGGAAGTGGCTCCATACTCCTACATTAAGACACTGGTGATGCCACTGGACAACCTAACCAGGTGGCCTACCAGTGAGGAAAAACAGAGGAAGGAGCAAACAGGAAACTAAGAGAGGAAGAGAAGGGAGGAAAGGAAAGGATCGAAGGATTGATGTCAATGGCAGAACCAGACAGCCTGTGGCCACTGAAAGCAGTGCTATCTAGGCCTGGATTATGTCTTTTGCTTCTACTGACGGCCTGTGTTGACCCACCCAAGACTCTCTGAACTGGTGCATCTCAACCCTCTTCTCTCATCCTCGAAAGCAAAGCGTGTGAA